CCAGCCGGAGGGCCTCCCCCCCCCCCCCCGAGTGCACAAATTTTTGTGCACCGGGCCTCTAGGCTATAATAACAAAAGCATAATATGCTAATTAGACTGGACGTCCTTCCGGAGGAAGCCGAGGCTGCCATGGAAGCCCGAGTCCTGGGTGCCAAAGGGAAGCCAGTGCCGGCAGCTGGGGAAATGAAGGCCTACTCTTGCATGAATTTTGTACTTCGGGTCTCTAGTTAAATGATAAAGCTAGGTTTCAAATTCAAGTCTGGCTCTTAACCACTAAACTATTGCCACATTGCCACTATTACTCATCACATCGACAGGCAGAAAAAGATCACCAATAAGGAGGGTCTGAAAAATAGCCAATTTTCCAGCATTGAAGTGAGTTCATTGTGATATCTCTTTGCTGGATTAAATATACTAAGGATGGGTGGTAGCAGGAAACCCTAGGATATTCGGTATTCTTACATTAAAGGGTTTAATTGTAAATAGTTGAAAAAGCAATTTCTTTATATTTATATGCTTAATGTTTACATTAATGGCAAAAGTGTAGCAACCATGGATGTCCACTAAAGCTGTCGTCCAAAAAATTTTTTGTTCACATACCTCCTAAGGCAATTTTGAAAAACGATGTATCCCTTTTCACTTAAAAAAAGAAAAATCCACCAAAGGGTGTTTTTAGAGAGAGGAAGAATAAGACAGAGACAGACAAAGAAACATCCATGTCAATCGGTTATCTCCTGTAGGGCATGGGATCCAACCTGAAGCCTACGTATGTGCCCTGACTGGGAATCAAACCTAAAACCTTTAGGTGTATGGGATGATGCTTCAATGAACTGGGTCACCTGGCCAGGGCTCCCTTCACATATTTTTAAGTTGATATCTTAAGGTTAAATAATGGCAAAGAATATGGTTTTTGACGTATTATAAATAGAAAAATTTGAAAACAAAACTAGAATATCCTATATTTGAATGTAATTCAAGAATGTAATGACTTGATACATACCATTATCTGTTGAAAAATACGTGAAGAAATACCCTTTAACAGTAGTAGATTTTATATGTCCTTTTTGTTCTGGAATTTATATCCATCCCAAGCTTCATATGATTTTAATATGATTATTTTGTGTTTGAGAGTCTTTTATCACATATATGAGTTTTCCACAATAAATTTTTAGTATAAATAAAAAAATTAATTTTCTTTGACCATAAGGCTCTTAAATGGTATTGTGTCCTTTAATTATATTTTTGTCAAATCCTTGGAGCTCCGTACTTGGCTCTTTCAACTTTGGAAAATGCCCTCCATATAACCTAATTGGCTGGCTGAGTTTTCATTGTCAATCCTACTAACCAAATCAGACTTATTTTCTGACAAAGTCTGACTTCATTTGTCAATTCAGATAAACATATTAACATGCATCCCATGATAGCCACTCTCTTCTGAATTCAGATTATAAGATAGAAAGATAGAGTCTCAGAGTCTTGTAGCTTTGCCTAGATCTTATCTCGGCCAAAATAAGATTCCACTGCCTTTATTATTTCTTACTAATGCCCTCTTGGCCTTATTGTGAGGGGACCTTCCTGTAGGAGAATGCATTCTTTGATAGTAAGGGGAGTGGGATGCTGATAAATGGAAGTGGTAAACATTATCACTCCCTCCCTACTCTATTATATACTTGAATTCAGTGTATCCAAGGGCCAGAATAATGATGAGCTTCACTGTTAAAAAAATAAGTTAAAGGTGGAAACCCTATTATAGGTTCCTTGATTAAAAATGGCTACTCCCAAACCTGAACTTTAAATTGTCCCTTTGGCACCTGAAGATTTTTATACTGTAGAGCAATGCACCTTGGGAAGATTCAGGATAGGTGAGAAGTGAGACTTACTTTTACAAAGTAGGAGAAAAGAATATGTCTTTTGGGGAGTGAGAAAGCGGATGTTGGGTAGGAATGGAAAACCTGCATGATGCATAGACCAATCAGAGGAACATTCTTCAGGTAGATGAGTTACAGGAAAGAATCATATAAAGTTAAGGCTTTAGAAACTGGTTCTCTTAAAACCATGCATCTTGTTTTGGTCCTTGCACTTTGGTCCTCATGTACTTCTAGAGGTACACATAATCCCAGCTAAAGACCAAAATCAAGGACAGACTTCACCTGTGAATGCTAATCCAGAAATGGACTGTTGGTTCCATATTGATCTTTTCAGACAAATGTGTATATATGTGTGATATGATAAATTTCTCTTGAATATTGTCATCAGAAATTACTACATTAGTAGATTTTGTTCCCATCCTGTTGATTTATCTAAAACAGAGAACAAACATATCCTCAAGGCCAGCCAATAGTGATTTTGGATAATTCATTTTCATGGTATTTTTTTTTCAACATTTAAAAACTAGGAGACAACATTAAAATTCAGATTTACACTTGAGAAATTTGGAAAATATGGCATACTTGGACCTACATTTCTACTTGGCATTAATCAATTAGACCTGAGCTGTGATTCTTCTTTAGACAGTGCATATGTTTTTAGTTCATTCATTTATGTTTTTTGCCTAGTCTTTGTAGGCATTAATATTTGTGATTCCTGATATTGAGATAAATGCTAGTGTCTTTTCTGTTTATTACCATGTTAGAATATTATTTAAATTGAAAATAAATAAATTTGATTGAATTGCTAACTGCTTGTGTTATTTTTAAGCATATTGAGAGCTCTTAAAGTGGACAGGTGAATACTAAATTAGCATTTTGCTTTAAATTATTCCTTAACCTTTTCTTAGAAGGAAATACACATTTTTCTTCCTTTACTTTATTCCCCTTTGACTTAGAACTGCATTGGTTGTGAAGAATAATATTGAGAGGCTGGATAGTGCAGTTGAAAACAAAAGAATAAGAAAAAATGCTTAAAGCTGGATTTGATGACCTTACTAGAAATAAAAGACATGTAAATGCAAATGAGATCATTTTCATGTATTAATAAAGACTGATATTATTCAGTGTTGGTAAGGTAGTAGGGAAACAATCACTCTTCTGCACTGCCTGAAATAATGTAAATTAATGCAATTTTATTTGGAGGAATTTTGGAGTATAAATTCAGAATCTTTTAAAAGATGCATACATTTTAACCAACCATTCCACTTCTTGGTCAGGTATACAAAGGTAGATATTGAAATGTGTTTTCACAATATTTCTGTTTAGTAAAAAAACTAGAGGCCTGGTGCAAAAAATTGGATGTAATCTAATTGTCCATCAAAAGAGAATTGGTTAAATAAATTGAGATATATTCTTTTTTTTTTTTTCTTCTTTTTTTTTTTTAAATATATTTTATTGATTTTTTTACAGAGAGGAAGGGAGAGAGATAGAGAGTTAGAAACATCGATGAGAGAGAAACATCGATCAGCCGCCTCCTGCACATCTCCCACTGGGGATGTGCCCGCAACCCAGGTACATGCCCTTGACCGGAATCGAACCTGGGCCCTTTCAGTCCGCAGGCCGACGCTCTATCCACTGAGCCAAACCGGTTTCGGCGAGATATATTCTTAATATACTAGAATACCAAACCATTTAAAATGTTGGTAAAGAGCGCCATCACAGTATATTGAGCTCCATAGAGACAGTGTCAGGGCAGCTGCGGGCACTTGGCGACTGTGTGCTCCCTGAGGAAAAGTAATTAAACATGGGCAGTTCCTGGCCAGTGTGGCTCAGTTGGTTGGAGCATTGTCCTGTACACCAAAAGGTAGGGGTTCGATTCCCAGTCAGGACACATAGCCTGGTTGCAGGTTCGATCCCCAGTTGGGGTGCATGTGGGAGGCAACCAGTTGATGTTTCTCTCTCATCTCTCTCTCTCTTCCTCTCTCCTTTCTCTCCCCCTCCTTCTCTTCTCTCTCTCTCTCCTTCTCTTTAAATCAATTAAAAAAATTTTTTTTGAAAATGGGCAAAGGAGATCTAAGAAGCCAAGAGACAAAATGTCTTTGTGTGCCTTCTTTGTGCAAACCTGCCAGGAAGAGCACAAGGAGGAAGTGCCCAAGTACTTCAGTCAACTTCTTAGAGTTTTCTAAGAAGTGCTCAGAGAGGTGGAAGACCATGTCGGCTGAAGAGAAAGGAAAATTTGAAGACATGGCAAAGGTAGACAAGGCCTATTATGAAAGAGAAATGAAAACTTATATATCCTTTCTAAAGGGGAAACAAAAAGGAAATTCAAGGACCCCCAATGCACCCAAGAGGCCTCCTTCAGCCCTTTTCTTGTTTGTTCTGAGTATCGCTCCAAAATCAAAGGAGAGCATCCTGGCCTGTTCATTGGTGATGTTGCAAAGAAGCTGGGGAATATGAAATCACACTGCTGCAGATGACAAGCAGCCTTATGAAAAGAAGGCTGCTAAGCTGAAGGAGAACTACAAGAAGGGTATTACTGCCTATCGAGCTAGAGAAGAGCCTGATGAGGCAAAAAAGGGAGTTGTTAAGACTGAAAAAGAAAAAAGCAAGAAAACGAAGATGAGGAGGAGGAAGAGGATGATGCTAAATAAGTTGGTTCTAGCGTAGTTTTCTTTTCTTGTCGTTAAAGCATTTAACCCGCCTCCCATACACAAATCACTCCTTCTGAAGAAAAAAATTGAAATGTAAGGCTGTGTAAGATTTGTGTCCTTTTTTGTATAGTTAACACACTACCAAATGTGTTTTTAGACAGTCCTGTCCTGGTGATATTCTCGGTAGCCACTAACCTTGCTTGGTACAGTATGGAGGTGTAAATTACCATGGAAATTTAAAGCAGGTTCTTGTTGGTGCACAGCACAAATTATATATGGCGATGGTAATTTTTTCATCATCAGTTGTCTCTGATGCAATTTATATGAAATAATTCTTGTTCTGTTAACTGAATACCATTCTGTAATTTCAAAAATGTTGCAGCTATTTTGTTGACATTCTGCATGCTTCTAAATAAATACATTTTTAAATTTAAAAATAAAATATTGGTAAAGATTCACAAAATTTGACTTGTATCATGTAACTTATAGAAGTGAACCCACCATCAAAAATGGTAAATCTAATATTACATTTAATTTTGTGTTGTATTTTAATGTTTCAGTAAAATGCTATTTACCTGGTTATTATCAGATGGATGCTGATGTGCATCAGTTTGTCAAGTTGAGGAAGCATTAGCTGTCAGCTAGCTGGTGACATGTTTGATATTAGAAATGTATTTTTGTTACACAAGTAGAATATACTGTCTTATTTTCTAAGCCAAGACTAATATTTTGTTTCCAAAGGAAAACTCACACATTTTCCACATTATTCTTTCTGGACAGTTGTGGGTTTTATTCCAAAAACAACATTTATAGATTCTCTATTTTTCTTATCAACCTTGAAATAGGCCAGATAGTTTCATGAATCTACTTTATTTGTTTAATTTTTAAGAAACTTTACTTAGTGTGAAATTTTCGTTTGGTACTGTAAATGATAGCTGATATTGTTATTTCAGAGAGATTCTAATTCAGGCTTTTGTTGAGTCTTTGTAGAAACTGACATTTTCCTTAAATGTACTATATTCTAAATTAATCCCCCCCTTTGAATACAAAATGTAAATTCAGACATTCTTCCTAGATTGAATCATTGATTAGACAAAGACTTTATTTTTAACTGTTTTATATATTTCTAGCAGTTCCAAAGAACCTTTTCAAAATGATAAAGAGCTAGAATATTTCATATTGATTATAATATGTCACTCAAACTCAATTTTTATATGCATATAGTATGTAAATGTTCATGTATAATGATGTGATTAATTTGATTAAGTACCTTATGTGTTGTTATTAAAATAGACCAGAAAAACAGTATATTTCTTTTTATAAAATGTGAAACTTCCAAATTTAATAGAAATTTCTCATAAGGTTAATGTGAGCTAGCACCCCAATTTCTTGTTTCTTACATTTAAGAACATGTTATTTAAGTCTTTGTTTACTCTCCTAGCTCATTCTTCATGTGTTTTGCATAAGATTATTTATGTTTACATCTCATCATCTACTTTTTGAAATATTTTTCCTACAGTTATGCAGAAGGCATGGAGGGAAAGAAATCCTTTATCTCGAATTAAAGCAGCCTACCAAGCTTTAGAATTAAACAATGAGTAAGTTTGAAATATATGGAAAATAAATTTGCTTTGAAGGAAACCCAGGCAAATGATTTAATGTTTCCTTTTGTCTGTTTCTTAGATACTTGGAGTCATTAGCAATCCCCTTTCTGTTTTTGCATACTAGAGACAAAATTTGTCATGTTCACCGATATGTATTTTGCTTCCAAAAGTAAACTTATCTATGCATTGAATAGAAATTATGCTAGAAATACTTTTTAAAATGGAGAGTGCTGATCTAATTGGTGATAATACTTGATATTAAAGAGTACTAAAATACTATGCCACTTGTTTTAATTTTGTTTTTCGTTTAAATCATTCATTTAAAGCATTCATTCAGCCCTGCAAACTTTAGTATCTTAAGTAAAATGTAGCTCTAACTTAATTTTTTTCATGTTAACAAGCATTTTTTATAGCTCTTTGTATAAACTTTATATTTTGAAAAGACAAAATGTAAAATCAGAAGTCAACTTAATATTTAAATGAGTCAGATCAATGTGTATTAATCTAATACTAAAATATGGCCCCAGTTGGGACTAATCAGGGTATACTTCCTGAATAATGTGAAATTAGCATTGTCCCCTGTGTTCCTCCTCCTTCCCTGTCTCCCCAGATATATTATCCTTATTAAGAAGAGCTTCCCAAAGCAGAAGAAAAATGGTAGTATAGGGAATTCCAAAAGTAGTAAATCAACTTTATTGAAACTATGGAAACTAATCAAAACTTTATAGCAACTTGGAGAATGCTTAATAAGTTAAAAAAAAACAGTTGAATTTCTGTAAGAGAGCTTTGTAATGTTTTAACTTACACTGGCCCCATCCCCTACTCCCTAGTTCAGTGGCACCCATGGAAACAACAGTCCAAATCCTGGTAATAGGTTCCTACTTCCAGAAGAAGTAGAATGGACCTAATTCTCAAAGAATTGTGGTTGTTTATTTGAAGGACCAGCCCAAGAGACTTGCCTTTCTTTAGGATATTTGGAACTCACCCCGTACTGACACAACTGCATTGGGGGAGAGGGGCATTTGTTAAAACATTTAAAGGCAAATACACTAGTTCCTGCTGCCTGGGGCAAGGGATAAAAGTTGGGGCAAAAAATAGACAAATCAAAGCTTTGGAGGAAAGCTGGGGAATGAGATACTTTGGAAATAGAGATTTTGAAAAGCTACCATATATTCCTGAAAATCTCAAAGGCTGCACACCTGCCCAAGGTACATGCTTAAGAAGACCCTAAGCTCTCATGTTTGTCTAATTCTCAGCTTCTGTACAAACAGAAAGTTAAGGCTAAGGCAGAATTATAAACTGGCTGATTGAATGTTGAAGGTGTGCCCCAACACAAACACACACAAAGCCATCTGCAAAGACTTGTTTTTGGTTCCAGGTGTTTAAGGCAATCTTTACCAAATTTATTGGCTGCCCACTAAGCTGAAGGAGTACTGCCATCTTAACCATATTGGTCACACATGATAGAGAATACGAACTTTACAAAATAAGTCAGAAAGTCACTAAACAAACAACTACAATAAGCAGTAACAACAAACTTTGGGGAGGAGAAGAAATCTGATTTTTAGAGTTTCCAGATTATAATATTCAAAATTTCCAGTTTTCAAGAACAAATTACAAGACATGCAAAAGAAACAAAATATGCCCCATACACAGAAAAGAAAGGAAATGAATAGAAATTGTCCCTTGAGGAAGCCCAGACTTTGTACTTCCTAAGTCTTTAAATAAACTTTTATTTTTTAAAATGTGTTTTTAATTGATTTTAGAGAGACACGTAGAAAGAGAGAGAAACATTGATGTGAGAAACACCAATTGATTGCCTTCCATATGCATCCTAACTGGAGATTAAACCACAACTTGTGTATGTGCCCTGACTGACAATCAGACTGGCATCTTTACAGTGCATAGGGGAATGCTCAACTGACTGAGCCACACCAGCCAGGTCTAAATCAACTATTTTAATTAAACATGCTCAAAAAGGTAAAGGAAGCCATGTACAAAGAATTAAAGGAAAATAGGAGAATTATGTCTCATCATTAAAAAGTAGGTAGAAAGAGATAGAAATAAGTAAAAGGAGCTAAATAGAAATTCTAGAGTTGAAAAATATCACCAAAATAAAAATTTTTCTATATGAATACAGCAACAGATTTGAGCAGGCAGGAAAAAATCAGTAAACTGGATTTAGACCAATTAAGATTACCTAGTCTGAGGAGAAATAAAAATAAAGGAATGAAGAAAATGAACAGAACCTAAGAAACCTTTGGTACACTATTGAGCATACCGATCTATCACTATTCACAGATGACATAATACATGCAGGATATTAAAG